ACCTTCAGTATTCGGTCTCCAGCGCTGGCGAAGAGAATGGCTCGAACTGTCCAGATCTGCGGCCACGGATCGTCGCGTGTGGAGAAGCACCACACGGGACATCATTGAGGCCGTCTAGATCAGTCATGATCGCAGCCGTAACAAGTACAAGTAAGTAAGTACCAGGTAGTACCTCATCCAAGGTTTGAGTTCGCGAGCCTTTTTACCAGAAGTCGAACGCTCTAACCATAGAGATATGGCCTCGTCTTGCTGGTTTTTATCCGGAAACATTGAAACCCACTGATTAATGTTCAGCAATCGCTAACGAAACTCACTCTCCCCGCTCTGTCTTGGAGCTCATTTTCGAGCCCCGCTAGCAGCGCTTGTAGTCTAAGCAGAAAGCATTGCCGGAAAAGACAGGGGAGACTGGAATGGCCGTCTCTGGTTCATGACCTATCTGCCTAGAGGGGGATAATCACTAGGAACAGGTTGTATAACTGCAACGATTCCGATATTAGTGGGTCAAACAGACTCCAGTCGGAACAATACCACAGGAATTTGAAATGTGAGCTAAGGTAGGATACGTAGACAAATTGGTATGTCAGAAAGGTCTTGGATGTACGAAACCTAAGCTGTCCAGTTGGATATTGACTAAGAAACAGTCCGCTATCAGTTATTGGTCGAAGCACTAAGAACTGTTTCTTCCGGGGGCAGCAAGAGAAACTAAAATGTGCGCACACATACCTCAGAAGATATCAAGTCCAGATAACGAGCGGGCTCGTATTTTTTGACCCACAAAGACTCAGAAATCACAGGGGCAGACGTGTCTGACGATCCATTTGTCTCACCAGTATCAATTATCCGCTTAAACGACAGCTGAAGGGGGCAAAATGCAAGTTAGTAATTGAAGGTGCCAAACCAATCGTTCTGCGCTTTCCACCAATTTAGAAAGTTCGTCAAGCACCAGGGGCTGTCGGGTAGTTGAGGTGATTGGAAGCTCCACCTTCTGCTCAACTTTTTCCATTGCGAGGTATTTTCGCCGACCATCAAGGAAGGTAATTGGAACATAGTCACCAGTCTCAGGGATACGGTCATTGAGAACTACTGACTGGGGTTTACTAACTGCGCTTGTGGGAGCCTTTTCGGTTACAGGAACACGCTCCTCTGCCATCAGGGTTTTCCGGCGTTTCGGGGCCGGAACGGTGATTGTTGCGGTGACCGGCTCAGGCGCTGAACTGGGTGCCAGAGATGACCAGGAGGCCCTCTC